TGAGTCGGATCCAACTTGATGGCAGTGTATTTGGTTTTGGTATATAATAATGTATAGAATATATACATTGATCATACCCAAATTCAACTACTTTAAATTATCTGAAATAGCTGATTTATGAATAGAAAAAGTACAGACCCATTCCTGAATGTGTCTTTTAGTCAAATTTGTAGGTAAGTCAGAACAGCTGAATACTTAACTTCAGTGAAAGAAAAGGCTCCAAGCCTTTTCAATGATTTAAAAGCTGTGTATGAAGCAAATGAAGATGTTTGGATAAAATATTTGTTGTAAGGGGTAGTCCAATCATTTCACATAGAGGGCAAATTTACATATTAAAGGACAGGTATGAGTTGTCAATAAGTCAAGTGTTTGTAACCTGGCGACTTAATAGCTTTAAGTTAACCAAAAAAATGTGGATATTAAGAAGATAATTCAACCACTGCTATAATACTGGGTAGATCTAAACAATCAAAAAACAATTCAAGTCAAAGGACTATAATTAAAGATGGCAAAGGATCTCCAACACAAGTAAGGGGGGAAAAAAATCCAGAGAACAATTTGCCGCAAAATTCAAGATACAGAATACTATTCAGAAAGAAATAAAGTACTGATACATGCTACCATATGGATGAACCTCAAGATTGTTATGTTACATGAAAGAAACCAGACCCAAAGAACTACTTTACACTTTAAATTTATACAAAATGTCCAGAAATGGCCCATGTATAGAGACACACTGGAGGCAGAGGGATGGGAACTGACTATCAATGGGCTCAAAGTTTCTTTTTGGGGTAATACAAGTATCCTACAGTTAGACTCTGGTAGCATAGTGGCTAAGTCACTTGCCTGCTAACCAGACGGCTGGCGGTTCAAACCCACCAGCCACTCCTCAGAAGGAAGGTTGGGCAATCCTACTTCCGTAGTGATACTGCCTCAAAAACCCAAGGAGGGGTCGCTATGAGTCAGGGCCGACTCGACGGCACATAACAACAACAACAACAGTTAGACTGTGGTGCTGGTAGCACAACTCTGCAAAAATACTGAAAACTATTTAATTGTACATTTTCAAAAAGTCAAAATAATTGAGGTTAACATAGGCTATGGCTTTTTTGAATGCCTGCTTTCTTTTATACCTGCAACTGAATAATGATGAGTACAGAGAGTCAATCTGTATTCCTGAACCCAATTAAAAAGCATTTTAAATAAAGAAAGTCCAAGTTCCTTAATTTGAACAAACAGTACAAGTGTACTTCAAAGTGTGACCAGAGAACCAGTGCCAAGCCACCAACAATTTAACAGGCTGCATTAAGATAAGGAGCTTGTACTAAATGTAAAACAACTATTATCACTAAACACACTATTTGAGTGACCTAACATATTTTTTTAAACGCAATACTTTCTCAGTGAAGGAAACTGAAGGTCTCCACCAATCATTCCCAGGATAATGCACATTATAAAATCTTACAAGAAACTGTAGATGATACATAATAAAAGTCTTTCAGACATCTGACAATTTACATACTATATTAAGTTCCTGGGTTAGGAACATCCAACTTAAGCACAACTAGTACTAGCCCTTCAATGTTATGTAAATTTACCCTCACTTTGAGACAACTGAACAGACTGAACCCACCCAACTCACGACAAATACATCACAATCACCTTCTCTTGCTTGAGTGCAGCTTTTAAGTCACTGAGAAGACTTCCAGAGCCTTTTCTTGCACTAAAACAAAAATACAAACTCACTGCCATTGAGATGATTCCGACTCACAGCGACCCTCATTGGATTTCTGAGGCAGTAAATCTTTACAGAAGTAGATTGCCCAGTCTTCCTTCTGCGGAGTGGCTGGTGGGTTTGAACCACCAACCTTCTGGTTAGCAGTCAAATGCTTTAGGCACTCCACCACCAGAATACTTAAGTAAGGTACGTACCTGTTCCAACTTACGTACAAATTCAACTAAAACGAGCAGTTAAGAAGGAATCTCATTTTTAAACCAGCTTGTAACTCAAAACACAGATCTCTAGTACTACTACATGTGTATGTATATAACTGTTTAAATACATATATATCACATATGTATATATAGGTGTGTGTGTGTGTGTGTATGTATGTGTGTAACACATATATAAACCAAACTCATTGAGTCATTTCTGACTCATAGCAACCCCTCCTTGGGTTTCCCAAGCATTACCTCTACGGAAGTAGATTGCCCAATCTTCCTTCTGAGGAATGGCTGGTGGGTGGGTTTGAACCACCAGCCTTCTGGTAAGAAGTCATATGCCTTAGGCACTATGCCACCAGAGCTCCCAGCAGGCCTGCCTAATTAAGTTTGTTGTTGTTTCCGGTATCACTACGGAAACAGATTGCTCAACCTTCCTTCCCAGGAGTGGCTGATGGGTTTGAACTGCCAGCCTTCTGGTTAGCAGTCAAGTGCCTTAGGCACTACGCTACCAGTCTCTAATATAGTTAGAGACTATAATTTGGAGGTAAAAAACCAAGTCCTAAAAATCCAGAAGCCCAATGACTGGTAACAAAGAACTACTCCAGGTGCATATTAGTTTATCCTCAGAAATAAGCAACTACCAACAAAAGTAGCTGTAACAATGAACTTTTTTTTAAATAAAGAATGTATTACTTTTAGAATCAGGGAAATACTATGAATTCCATTCCTCTTAGATGATATTATTCATATTTTAGTCCTTCCTCAGTGATTCTCTGGTTCATCATTATGAAAAATAATAAAATAATGTTGTTGTTGTTGTTATGTGCCATCGAGTCGGCCCCGACTCATAGCGACCCCTCCTTGGGTTTCCGAGGCAGTATCACTACGGAAGTAGGATTGCCCAACCTTCCTTCCGAGGAGTGGCTGGTGGGTTTGAACTGCCAGCCCTCTGGTTAGCAGTCAAGTGCTTTAGCCACTATGCTACCAGAGCTCCTAAAACAATAATAGCTACTTGTATTTAGTAAGAATCTATCGTGTCTTCAAGTCTTTTTATCACTATGCTATCTACTATAAAATATCAACAAAAAATCACTTCCAAGTGCTTCATCTTCTCAGAGGATAAGCCCCAATGCAAGAAAAGCATCAGGGAAGCGGTATCCTCCAAGATTAGCAACTATCATCAAGATTTAGGAGTTGCCATAAAAACTTCTACTGAAGAGCTCTGCTGGGCCCCAAGACTACAGTCCCCTACAAGTTTTGCTTCATTAATCCCCTGACCTCAGTCTACCACTTTCTCAATCTCAGTCTATTAAAATTAAGTTTTTGCCTTGTCTGCAGCACTTGACCCCTTATAACCTAGGCAGCAGAGAGAATCTGAAACTGCTTACATTTCAGCTCATACTCAACTAGACCAGAAGTATGGCCTGATGGATATGAGTATTTTCACAGACTAAAGGCCTACTTATTCTGCCATCCCTGTTCTCCCAATCATCCATTCTTCCCTGTGATTTCAAGGTGATCAGAGTATATAAATCTCAAAGGCCACATTTCAGGGAATTCTTGAACTCATGGACTTAGTACATGTTACAATAGACTTTTTTTTCATGAGTCATTTTCTATCACCCCTCTACCCCTCTGGCTCATAATAAACTAAAAGTAAAAAAACTAGCATTCTACTTTGAAATTTTGTTTGTTTGTTTGTTTTTTATAGGAGTTCTGCAATAGTAACACTGGGGGAACAACCACAGATTTTTAACTAAAAAGGTTAAAGGTAATAAAAAGAGAAATAAATACATTAACAGACATTTACAAGGAGCTTTACAAATGTACACAATGTTTGATATGTTTACTGTCTAAATCACAAAAGTGCAATCCAAACACAACTAAAACAAGGCAAGAGAATTATTTCCAGAATTTAAGTTCTACTTGTGTATCATCTCTGTTCAGAGATGCAATACACAACATATTGCATTTAACAACATAAAAATGGTTGAGAATCACTTTACTAACAATTCAACGAATAACTATTAAATAATTGCCCTAGGCTGTGTTGGACAAAAGAATAATGTAGCAAGACCCTACCCTCAAGAAACAATAGCTCACTCCTGTCAATAGACATATGCATATCCAACTAGCCATAATGTAAGTGAGACTGTGATTCTTTTTCTTTCATGGTTTTCTCAATTTCCAACTGTAAAACAAAAAACTCAAATTATTTTTATCCTAAAATACTGTATTACAAATTCCATTTTCTATTTCAAAATCAATAGTGAAGAAATTCAAAGGAAGAACTTCATATCCTGTAACTGCATGTCAATCAACCTTTTTTAGCCCTTGGTTGGAAAAATCACAAACCATAAATTTTAATCTACTGTGATAAATATAATCACAATGTAAGTGTTAGCAGAACTAGCAAATTAATTTGCTGTGTGAAAACACTGAACAAGTTAATGACTAGGTTAATTTCTTTTTTCATCTTCTACCTTAAAAGCATTTGCATCTCTAATGTAGTAACACTGTTTTCTACTTATATTTCTCTTCTTAGAACAAAAAAATGTGTCAATTTTAATTAGGTGGTTTTTTTAGGATATTTCATAGCATTTTTCACATGAAAAGTTTTAAAATTTTATCTAACACTATATTTTATTTTACTAATTCTACTTTTTTTTGAAAAGTAATTTTGATTACTCTATTTTTCTTTTACTCAGTGCTTATCATCACTTATTTCTATAAATATCACTGTACTTCCAAACCAACAAACAAAAAATTATCAAGTATTCTACAATTAGATGTGAAACACCTGGAAACAGTTGTCAGGGACTATCTTATCAAGCCTGGTACCAAAAGTCTAGAAGTATTTTACCCATTTTACAACATAAAAGAAGTTGTGGCAAAAGGTTAACAGGGACTGACCTATTCTTGTATAAATGTCCATCTAAATGCTACTTTTTTCAATAGCTGATTTTTACCCACATTAATTGGTTCAGTTCTTAGAAAAGGTGAGTTTCAGAAAATATATTATCAACTCCAATCAGTTACATTAAGACACAACTAACCTTTTGCTCTGCTTGCAATTGCTCACATTTTTCTTTCTCCTGGTTAAGATCACTTTCCATTCTTCCAACTTGTTCTCGAAGTTGTGTTGTTTCCTTTTCCAGAACGGCAATTAATTTTAACAGTTCTTCTTTTTCTTTCATGGTTTTCTCAATTTTCAACTGTAAAACAAAAAAACTCAAATTATTTTTATCCTAAAATACTATATTACAAATTCCATTTTCTATTTCAAAAAGAGTAATTAAGAAATTGAAAGGAAGAACGTTTTATATCCTATAACTTCATATCAAATGATCTCTTTTAGCCCTTCATTGGAAAAATCACAAAGCATAAGTTTTATTCAACTTTTGGTTGGGCAAAGAAGAAAATATTAAAAGAAGGTATAAAATGAGTTATATGTCTTACAAAGTTTCCGGTAACTTTCCAAATCAACTCTACAAACAAAGCATACTGTTTCATAAGTGACTTAATAACTAGATTTTCCTATCGTAATAATCAGACTTCAAAAGGAAAGTCTGAATTGAATCTTTTGTTGCATGGTAATCTATAGAAAATCTTTGAATCTATTAAGAACTTACTCATGTGTTATATTAACCCTTCATCCACGATATGACTATTGAAAGTGTTGGTTCTTTACATAAAATACTAAGGACTAAACAGTTCTATATACATACTGTGAGCTCTGGTGGTGCAGTGTCTAAGGCATATGACTGTTAATTAGAAGGCTGACGGTTCAAACCCACCAGCCACTCCTCGGAAGAAGACTGGGCAATCTACTTCTGTAGAGATACTGCCTCGGAAACCCAAGGAGGGATTGCTATGAGTCAAATTCGACTTGACTATATGCATACTGGCCTCCAGCTGAAAATTAATACAGTTTATAAATAAAAATAAATGGATACTCAGAGGAAAGCCTTCACATTTAGCTGGGAAAATTAAAAGTTTTTCCAATAATACATTCCAAATCAGTTTACCAGGCAATGGACTCATGGAACCAAACTGTTTAAAATGGCTCTGTTAAAAGTTGAAATGCTAGATTTTTTTTTTTTTTAAAGAATGATCTTCTACCTATTGCATCAGACTAAATAAAAATCCAGGATTGAATACTCTCCAAGGGAAAAACTTTATTTAGTCATTGAACTCCTTAATACTATACCTCTTTTCTTAAAGAAAAGATTGCAGACAGATTGCCTATCTACTTCATAATAAATATGACATACTCAATAAAGTCAATAAAAAATGAGAAGCAAGCAAATATATTAAACATAAGGGTTAATATCATTATAATTTAGCATTAATTTAGCTCTAAAGTTTCTGGCAGCCTAAAAATGAAGACATATCTTGACATAAAGGAATAGACACATTATAAAATAACCAATTTTTTCTGGTGAAAATTATTTCATAGCTCTGGTAGCATAGTGGCTAAGGCACTTGACTGCTAACCAGAAGGCTGGCGGTTCAAACCCACCAGCCACTCCTCGGAAGGAAGATGGGGCAATCTACTTCCATAGTGATACTGCCTCGGAAACCCAAGGAGGGGTCGCTATGAGTCGGGGCCGACTCGACGGCACATAACAACAACAACAACATACTTTCTCAAGAATTTACTGAAGCTTAAATGAAAACAAAAAAGGGAATTCAAATTAGAAATGTAAACAAGTCTAAATGCTCCCCTTAATTTTGTATTTTGTAATCTTTCAAACATAGTTAAAATTTTACAATGAACACTCATACACACTTCACCTAAAAATTCATTAATTACTAATATTTTACCATGTTTATTTTATTTCACTTTATAGACCTGATTTATTCATGTTGTTTAGTTATCTTTTTCTAAACACCATATGAAACAAAACTGCAGCTATTTTACCTCTAAATACTACAGAGCAAATTATGTCCTAATAAGGACAGTCTCCTATTCAATTATTGTCATAGCTAGAAAAATGAACAATTATACATAATATCTATAATATACAGTCAAATGTCCCATGTTACCCCAAAGTATCTTTTATATATATATATTTTTTAAATCTAGGATTCAATCAAGGTTCATACATTGGATTTGATTGTTACATACCACTAATCACTTTAAATGTCAAAAGTGTCCCAGATAGTCTCACATTTATACTAATTTTATGAAGTTTCAGAAAAAAATCAGTAAAAGATTTTTATGATTATGACATATGAAAGACTTGTCAAAAAACATTCAAAAAATAAAAATGTGTTATCTCAGAAATATTTACCTCAGAAATAGAGATTTATATTTTCTTTGTAAAGTATCGTTTACGGACTAAGAAGAACTTTAACAGACTGAGCAACGTCCCAATTCACTTGAAGAAGAATCACAAGAGAGATGTGGATGCCAAAATGTTTTTCTGTTGGAGGCCTTAAAATCAGGGTGGTCTAACAAGTATTCCAAAAGCTGCAATATAAACACTAACTGCATTCTTTTAAAGAGCTAGGCTTGTTTCAGTATCTTTGACTAATGCTCAAATACCAGGCTAAAAACCTTGATCATCAGGCGGTTGTCACCACAAAATGTTTTAGTCACCCTATAAAAGCTACATTTCTTTAAGATAAGAGAGGAATTTCTGGAAAGGGGAAGGGATGATATGGAAGAAATCACAATAAAAAATTACTGATTGCTTCTAACCTTTTTAGTTTGACTGGATTGTATCTATAACATCTTATCTTTTTTCTTTATTCTCATTTTTTAAAGGTAAATAAAATAAAAGATGTAAAATATTTACATGTTAAAAAAAATCCATCTGATTATTAAAAAATTGCAATGACCCACTACAGACTAAATATGAATATAAATTAGCCAAAAATGTATACTGAACCAATTAAAGGAGGTATTTTTCTTATTATTACAACAAAAGATACTATGTAATTAAGTCATAGTAACAAATATAAATACTATTTTTCAAGTATAGGGTAAAGATATTGGGAAATGTTATCTTGAAATGAAAAAAGACTACTGCTCTATTTTCTCTCAAAGACTACTAAATATTCAGACATACACCAAACCAAACCAAACTCACTGCCACATTGAGTCAGATTCAACTCACAGTGACCCCTCCTTGGGTGTCTGAGGCAGTATCACTACCGAAGTAGATTGCCCAAGCATCCTTCTGAGGAGTGGCTGCTGGGTTTGAACCACCAGCCTTCTGGTTAGCAGTCAAATGCCTTAGGCACTACGCCACCAGAGCTCTGTATTCAGACATCAGGTATTATTATTATTATTATTATTAGACCATCTACAATCAATTTGGGAGCTCTGGTAGCATAGTGACTAAGACACTTGCCTGCTAACCAGACGGCTGGCGGTTCAAACCCACCAGCCACTCCTCGGAAGGAAGGTTGGGCAATCCTACTTCCGTAGTGATACTGCCTTGGAAACCCAAGGAGGGGTCGCTATGAGTCGGGTTTGACTCGACAGCACATAACAACAACAACAATCAATTTACATTTGATCAATGTCATATATTATTGTTTAGGACTATCCCTATAATATGTCAGAGAATAAAGAGCTTTTCACCTTTTCTTTTTGTAGTTATGGTCATTCCCAGTTTATTCATTTGATTGGACAAAGAATCATTCTAAAAATGCTCAATCTAAATTAAGACAATACCACACTTGGGATAGAGTATGTTCATGGTGTGGTAAAGTTCACATCCAATTACATTTTATTTTATTACTTTAGACCACTTTCCTACCAAGCTTAATCCCCTAAAACCAAACCAAAACCAAACTCACTGCCGCCGAATCAGATCTGACTCACAGCAATGCCTCCTTGGGTTTCCATGTATCACTATGGAAGTAAATTGTCCAATCTTCCTGCTGTTGTTAGGTGCCATTGAGTCAGTTTGAAATCAGTGACCCTATTACAACACAATGAAACACTGACCAGGTCCTGTGCCATCCTCACAACCACTGCTATGCTTGAGCCCATTGTTGCAGCCACCATATGTCAACTCATCTCATTAAGGGTCTTCCTCTTTTTTTGTTGACCCTCTACTTACCAAGGATGATGTCATTCTCTAGAGACTGGTCCCTCCTGATAACATGTCCAAAGTAAGCAAGACAAAGTCTTACTATCCTCCCTTGGAAGGAACATTCTGGCTAGCATTAGTCCATGAGCACTGCTAAAACCTGTCCACCATGGGTGACCCTGTCAGTATTTGAAATACTAGTGGTACTGCTCCCAGCATCATAACAACATGGAAGCCAGCAAAGAACAACATACTGCCAGACAAGTGGTGGACTAACTATATACCCACTATGCACAAAATACTGATAGGCCTTGATAGTCTGTGCCACAGCAGAACCAGAACATAATTGTTACCAAAAAATTTTTAAATTATTTAAGAAGTTTACTATTTTACTTCAAAGTCAATTTATTTTAGTAGAAACACTTTCATAACCTGAAAATTCTTAAACTGCCAACCAGCATGAACTCTGTTCTCAAAACTACCAGTGAACCACTACCACATTGTTGATACCAACCTCAAGAAGGCCAGCTTTTGTGGTCACCACCAACATGTCAGAATTTCCTTCATCTTCCATAGTAAGCAATTCTTCAACTGGAGAAGAAGCTCGAAATTGGAAAGGAGTACTTGCTCCACGAATTTCACCCTTATGGGTAACATAACAGAACTGATAAAATTCTCCATCATCATTTGGAAGGTAATATCCTAAGAAAAGGTAAAAAAAAAAAAAAAAATTAATCTTCTTATTATAAAATAAGGAGCCTTGGTGGCACAGTAATTAGGCACTCAGCTGCTAACCAAAAGGTCGGTGGTTCAAATCCACTAGCCACTCTATAGGAGAAAAATGTGGCTGTCTGCTTCTGTAAAATTATAGCCTTGGGTATCTTATGGGGGAGTTCTACTCTATTCTATAGGGTCACTATGAATCAAAATCAACATGCCAACAATGGGTTTGGTTTTTCTTCTCTTTTGTAGTATAAATGTTGTTTCAATTTCATTTAACAACCCTTGCCATTTCGTATTAGTTCTGACACTGGTCTAGGTACTTAGGATATGGCTTTCTGCCCACCTTTCATAAATTATCTATCAAAATGACCCTCTTCTCCCCTTTCTTAAACACTTCCAAATTAATTCTTCATTTAGGCCTAAGCTTATACTCCAGAAATAGTCTTTCCCCTTGTATATTCTCTAGAGCAAAACAAACTCATCTGGGACAGGCAAGTGTATAGCTCCCAAGGCGAAAGAAGCAGAGGCAAGGGAGAACCAGTAAGATGATGATGATTGGGGGAGAGGAATAATGTCATTTAATGACATCTTCTCTCAAACTTAATAGGCATTAACATACAATAGTAAGTTATTTTAAAAGGGAATATGCTCACATGTTCATCGCAGTACTATGTACAATAGCCAAAAGACGGAAACAACCTAGGTGTCCAACAACTGAGGAATGGATAACCAAACTATGGTACATACACACAATGGAATACTATGCAACGCTAAAGAATAATGTAGAATCTGCAAAACACCGCATAACGTGGATGAACTTGGAGGACATTATGCTGAGCGAAATAAGTCAATCACAAAAGGACAAATATTGTATTAGTCCGTTATTGTAAAAGATAAGGAAAGGTTTATATATAGAAGGAAATTTTCTTTGTTGGCTACCAGGGGTGAGAGGGAAGAGGAGGGAATGCTGTTAGATAGATAGAGGTAAGTATTGATTTGGGTGAAGAGAAGGGCAATGTACCAAATGTGAATGACCAATCTGGCAGCATTGAGGATGAGAAAGATATAGAGAAGTACATGGGAGGTACAGACAACAAAGAGGAACCTTTTTGCACATACAGTACTGTGTTGTCAGTGAAGGCAAACATGGGTATATTGCAAGGAAGGTTGGACGATCTACTTCTGTAGAGATACTGCCTCGGAAACCCAAGAAGGGGTTGCTTTGAGTCGTGTTTGACTTGACGGCATACAACAACAATGTAGTGAAGGGAACAACTCTTCATAACAGGGTAATTCCAACTAATAAATGTAGAAGAAATGAGGCTAGAAAATCATCATTAGGCCAACACCACAGTAACTGCTGTAATCAAGACCCACTAATAGATTATAAAATCGATGGGTGAAAGTTTTAGGAGAAACACATACAGACATCACGTGCCCTCTGATACAATACACTGTGAGGGGCACAACAATGCTTCTATAGTATCTTTCCCAAAAATGTTTAACTTCAACTTAATCATGAGATAACTTCTGACAAACCCAAAATAAAGAATACATTATCACACACACACACGCAAAATTAACAGTATTCTTCAAAAATGTAAAAGTCATAAAAGACAATGACAGACTGAGGAAATGTCACAGACTGGACACTACAGAATGAACGAATGAACAAACGCTCTGCCATCGAGTCAGATCACACTCATAGCGACACCTCCTTGGGTTTCCGAAGCAGTATCACTACGGAAGTAGATTGCCCAACCTTCTTTCCGAGGAGTGGCTGGTAGGTTTGAACCACCAGCCTTCTGGTTAGTAGTCAAATGCCTTAGGCACTATGCCATGGCAACTAACTGCAATGTGAGATTGTGGACTGGATTCAGGAACAGAAAATTGTTGTTAGTAGAAAAACTAGTAAAATTTGCATAAGGTTTGTAGTTTAGTCAATAATATTGTATCGATATTAAATTCCCAGGTTTTTTAAACATATTATGGCTAGGCAAGACGTTAACACTAGGGGAAGTTGAGTGGATGGTATATGGAAATTCACTGTACTATTTTTGAAATTTTCTTTAAAATCATTCCAAGTAAAAAGTTAAATAAAGTACTGTAAGAAATTCATTTGGCAATTAATGAAAAAAAGACTCTAAAAAATTACCATCCCTTGAATATCTACTATTATATTTATTTAATCTGTAGCAGATAACTTTACAAATGGCCACTAAATTTAAGAAAGTTTAAGTAGAAAAACAAAAATACAACCTGATTAATTAACTCAGTTATCATGAGTTATGATACAGTAATAATATGATAGTCAGAAATTCTACAAACTAGATATTCAAGATCTGATTCTTTAAAAAATCACAATCCCACAAAAATAATAATCTGATAAAATTATGGCTCAGATGCCATTTGAGATACAAGATAATTTAATCAGAGTTACCATTTAAAGCTATCTGCCTAGGAAAATTCTAGTCAGATTAACATACTTACTCATAAACATGCTTAGTTTCCAAAGACCAGGTCATTATGTGAAAATTGGAGTTATGCAAAAATGGAAGGATGACCACATTACCTTGTCCCCTCAGCTGCACTTACTGTGAATGTCCTGCCAGACCCCTGCTGAAGTCAGTAGCCAATGCCACCTCCTTCTTCCCTATGTCACCTCTGAAGAGCTCGGCCGCTACCACCATCTGTGGACAAGGGCCACCTAGTCTTCCAGAATCAGGGTGGCCCAAGTGTCACCCCCCTCTCAAGACCGAGGTCACCTCCCTCTGCTGCCCTTATCATATTTTCAGGATGGATGGCCCTGGCTCAGCCCCTGTCCATGAGCAGGAGGGGCTTATGTGTCACAGGGGGAGTGCATGCTGCCCACTGGTTCCCCCATGCACATCAGCCCCTCACCAGAACATTCCCTGGCTCTCACTGAGCAGCCCTGCTCCTCTCTACCCCCATGTCCCCAGAGAATTAAATCCAGACCTTCCTCTGAGGCCGTGACAATCAGACCCAGCCTCTGCCCTTGACCTTAAACTGAAGCTGTCACTGGTCACTCAACTGCTGACACCACCCCCATCCAGATAGCCCGACATAACTTCATCTGTGCCCACTCAAGAGGGGATATTAAGGAAGCAAAAGGGGCTGCACAGGTGCCAGTCAGCTGACAAGGATCTCACAGGCTCTGGCACCTGAACTTCTCATCTCCAAGCTCCTTCTGAACATGGTCTGGGCCTGCCGCCCCTTGGGGCTGGGAACTGGATGGAGCCAGACTCCAGAGTCCCACTTTCTCCCCAGGCCCAAAGTCACCCCACCTTCAGAATACTGGCTGCTGCTACTCCAGCCTCAGCTCCCTATGTGCAGCCAGGACCCACCAGGCAGCACCTCATTCCTGCCAGCTCCACTCCATCCCCCACCCTGGCAGCTCCAGAAGACAGTGCCCCCTCTCCCCTCCTGAGAGGTGAAGTACTAAGCAATACAAGCTTCCTTTCTATGTGCACATGTGGGTCTCCATACAGAGCTTCTTTATCCAAGGGGCTACTCAAGATGTTTGTTCTCTCTACTGAGGTAGCTCCACTGAGTCTGTGTCTTCCAAGGCCTTTAAAATTGGCCTCATCATGTGGCCATGGAAGATTATATCGTACCTCTTAAGGCTTAGTCAATATGGGCCCCCCAAGTAGTTCTCTTGGTCTGGTCAGCCCCCACTCATTGTTCTCAGGTGTGGTCCACTCTCAGGAAGCAGGACAAAAGGCTAAATTATCTACTGTTAGAGGGTTCCACACCTCCCACCAGACCAGACCCAGAAAACCAATTAAATCACAATCTTGGAGGTGGGACACAGGCTTCAATCTTTCTTGAAATTCTCCAGATGATTCCAAAGAGCAAACAAGTTTGGAAATACTATACTAAAACCATATGCATAGGTTTCAATTTATACTGCACTAGCAGGATTTTTCCCCCCAATAAACGTATGATGCTCGCTCATAAAAATTAACAACAATGACTAAATCTCTGCTGTCAATATAACAAATTTTCTAAAATAAGTAATACCTAAACACTCTGGTGGTGCAGTGTTAATGGCTTGGCTTCTAACCAAAAGATTAGTGGTTCTAAGTCTGACATTTCATCACCAAAGACAAGGTGGGTGTGGTTACCTTAATGGACAGCAGGGTCAAAACAGTAATTAGAATGGACTTAGGCACTGGCTACTTACTTATGGTGTCCTGAGGAGTGAAATAAATGGGAAATCTACTAAACATTTACTTGTACCGTACAAGCAGCTCACTTCTAGGTCAAGTGAACTAGCAGTCTAACTCAAATCACCAGAATGGAATGTCAAGGCCCCTCAATCAATTTCCAGACTTGTTACAGACCAACAACCCCTTGAATGAAGAGGAGGCTGGGTCTCCTTGAGAAAGGACCCGTTACATTGCCAAAAATTCATACTGTTAATCTTTCTTCTAGCCTTCTCCAAAGGATCTACAGCCTTTTATGAGAGTGACTGTTGACTGGGGAAAAGGAAATAATTAAGACTTCTCTAGGATTACTGGACACTGGCACTTAACACTAATTCCAGGAGACCCAAAACATCACTGTGGCCCACTAGTCCGAGTAGGGACATATGGAGGTCAGCTTAGCTCCACTACCACTCTTCAGAAGAAAGATGTGGCAATCTGTTTCCGTAAAGATTACAACCTTGTAAACCCTATGGGTAGTTCTACTCTTTCCTACAGGGTCATTATGAGTAAGAATCACTCAATGGCAATGGGTTTGGTTTGGGTTTTTAGACACACACAAAAAAAAAAACCTAGAAATTTTTATTCCAAATTCAGACTGTCTTTTGTTTTTTTATGAAAACATCTGCAAGTTAAATAAGCATTTACATTAAATAAATATTTCAGTACAATTTGGTTTTCAAGGGTTTTCTTTTAGTTTAATTGGTACAAAATTTAATTATCAACATTTTGAAAAAGGTCAAACAAATTAGGTAAGGAAGACATGATTTGGGGTTTAGTTTGAAAGATTTATAAGATTTTTAAATTTCATTAAAATGTACAACAACTTTATTTTAATCATTCACTTTATAATCCTGAACAACTTTTTTAAAGTAATGATTCATAAAGGCAAGCGTCTTTCTAGTCAAATAAAAGATTCTTAGAATTTTATATTGTTTAAAAATATAAAGAACCTGAAGGAAAAACTCTTCAGCCCCAGAGGACAGTAACAGAGTTCTAAATTATTTTTAAGTAGAGAAGTAAGTAAAAGTCTAAGGAACAAGGAGTCCTTATTGAGGTGTTTTACCTGGGACTGAAGGATAAAGAGAATTCACCAAAATTCAGGGAGGAGAAAAATTACATCATCTTACTTTTTACTAACATCTAACTTAATTTTAGCATTTCCTTTGGCTGTAAATCAAAATAATTAATATTAGCAACAAACCACACAGTATTATCAGTGCTTGTGATTTTGGGGGGGGTGGTCACTAGTAAGAATCATAGATCACAATGCAATTGTTATAGATTTTGCAATAAAATCATTACTTTGAAATAACGGCTGTTAGTATATCTGCTGCTATATCTTCTTAGCAAACAAATTTTGAAATACACATATTAACATATTATAAATGATAAAGATTCCAAATCAATGGTTTCCATTCCAATTCTATGTATTTGATGTACATTAAAATATTATTCTGGGTCAGAATCCATAAACTTCACCAGATTGGAAATATCTATGTCATTAAAAAAAAGGGTAAGAATTAAAAAGGTTAAGCATTTGTTTTAATCTTTTGGACTTTTAATCCAAAATCAGTACCATTATAATACAAAGAACATTCTGCAGCAAATTCTGTGATTAGATATCTGAAAAACTGTATTTAAAAAAATCTGTACGTAACGCCAAACTAAGTCAAGAATGATCTTTATATTACATATATCCATTTTACAGCAACTTTCACATGACAGAATATAAACGAAACCAAAACCAAGCCCACTGCCATCGAGTCAATTCTGACTCAGGAACTGCCCCATCAAGGGGTTTTTAAAGCTGTAAATCTTTACAAATGCAGATTGCCTCATCTTTCTCTTGCAGATCAGCTGGTGGGTTTGAACCACTAACCTTTTGGTTAGCAGCCTAATGTTTTAACCACTACACCACCAGAGCTCCTTGAATAAATATAACTATAAATCCTTCTAATGATCTTTGTGGTTTTCATCTGGATTATTTTCTTCATCTCTGTTTTGCTGCATTATTCTAGTATCAGTAATAGCATTATTTTATCATTTGAATAAAATAATCATCAAATGTAATGATCTACATAAAGAGAAATGAAGTCCTGATGCACACCACAACATGAACAAACCATAAAAACTTCACGCTGAGCAAAACAAGTCAGGTAAGAAAGTTGAAAAAGAACAAATACTGTATGATCTCACTTATATGAAATAAGCAAATATATAAAAATCAAAGACTATTAGTGGTTACTACATTATGGGGCTGCGGTGTAGTAAATTACTTAGTGTGGCTTTTCTACCCATAAGTCTTTGTAAACTCCAAGGTGGGAATTGCTATTAGCAACTGAGGAGATCCTGATTTTAAAGTCGCCCACCTGGGTTATTTCTGTTGGGCATGGCACAATACAATGTTCTGGGAGGTTCCCACTCTCTCTCACGT